ATTCATGATGGTCATGATTATTATTCAATACATTTGATATCATCATTGACATAACAAACAATTGCATCACCCAGGTAATGATAATACCAAGGCCATGCAAAAATGAAACTCTTAACAATGCATGTCTACCCAGATCTCTGGGGTTCACAAAATAAATTATTCTTCCTGATTACAATTATGGTTCCTCATGAATAATAAATCTGATGTTGATCATAGGTGTCAGATTTAATTAAAATTTCCTATCACAAACATGCAATGCGGTGCAATTAAGCATGCCTATAACCATGGAATTTTCTTTCCACAGAGAGGTTCCACACATGTTGGAAGGCTTTGGACAAAACTTTCCCTATCTTCCTCTCAGACCAGGCTTGGCTGTCACCATATGGACATTGATTGCTGACAAGAGTTGACATTTATGATGATTGCTTTGTGTTATTGCCACACTAGCATAAAGTTGGTGTTAAGACTGAGTTGAAAATTCTGCAACTCAGAAAGTTGCAACCTGGATTGCTGTTTTGGATTTTCCCTGAATTCAGAGTTTTGAGTCTTGGGTTGCTGTAATTTTTATGAAAAGAAAAGTATTAATATTTAACAATTAATTATTTAAATGTTTATTTTGTTGAAAAAAATATACATTGATAGTGTACATTTTCTGTGCTTAACATCCATGTGACCCTAAGTCTGGACAAAAGATCCCTTTCTATGAGTTTGGCTGGTATATCCCAAAGGCATCCCCTGTCTTGTCAGTGGCATGCCTACTCACCAACAACCCTACCCCCATTTACAAATTCAGTAGTGATGTTAGCCGACTAATAATCTGCATACACAATTTCTAAATTTGGTAATAGATTTCCGCGTTACCTTCTGGTTATAGAAATAAAATTACCAATTTAGGTAATAAATGGCTTAGCCGGCTAAGGATTTTTAAACGGCTAACATCATTAAAATTCAGTTGGTCAGATAAAAATTTAGAGAAGCAGAAAATTTGAGAAAATGTTTAATTTATAACAAAACATACCAAACAAAATCCAACCCATTTTTATGGCTTGGACATATTGCTGACAAAGATGTATATAATCATGTGATAATTTAACCTGCAGGACAGGGGATTGATTGAGCAAAAACACAATCCAGTCCCCTACCCAAAATCATAAATTGGTTAGTAGAGAAACAGAGAATTTATGAAAATAATGATTATACAAAACAAACACTATTTTACAACTTTCCTCTTAACATCAGAGTCCAAATGCAATTTCAGGGTCACCAACCCTGCCCTGAATTGCGACCTCCTGTGCTTGAAACAAGCTGCAGATTCTCGTTGCTTTGATGGATCTGGATATTTACATGGCACTAATATTCATCTGCAGAGTTGCGACTTGGTCACAGAGCCATCCTTGCCCTAGAGGCGGGATCGTTGCAGGCAACCTTTCGGCCAGCATGCCAGCAGCCATCTCTGGTCTGGGAAGATTAGTGAAAGTGTCATTGACGATTGGTGCAGTCTCGATAAACTCCAAAGCCACGCAATACCCCTGGAGTTCTGTTGCATCATTGTATCTTCGATCAATCAGGTCAGATTAGCCTTGTGTACACAAGGAACAGGTGAATGACTGTAATGTGTTCAAGGCAGCGTGCGTGCGTGCTTCAACGCCTGCCAATTTCCTGTAATCAAACATTGCATATTCGAAATGTCTCTTTTTCAATGGTGTGCTGCCTTGATTTCTTGTATAATAATATATATAATATTATTATTAATATTATTGATTACAAAAAACAAAGTATTATCAATTGTAATTACCCAGCAAGATCTGCTCCGCGTTTTGATTCCAATTAAAATATTTATATAAAATAAAAAATATCAATACAAATAAAAAATAGTACCCCTGGTTAGTTATTAACACTTCTTCTTTAGGAGACCCAAACCAAACCAAACCAAACAACAACGTTCACATTTTGTCATTTTGGGCTCTGTCAAAAAATAAATTGTTTTTCCAAGAAAGAAAAGAAAAAAAAAATCAATAGGATAAATAATCAGCGTGTACGCGTCGATCAACAAACTTCTTTTTAAAATTAGTTTTTTTTTTTAATAATGTCCCAAGGAACCGGAAAAAGAAGAAAAAACCAAGAAGCAGAAGAAATCTATAGGTAAGTGTTTTTAAGGATGGTGGTGGTGGTTATCGCCCGCCACCCGTCGTCACTCTAGTTTCATATTAAATTTTATACTATATATGTAGATCTTCTACCATTAATGAATGGATTGATACAGAGGATCTGTTTGAAAGTATCAAGAAGATTCTACCAGGACCACCACCAACACCATTGGACACTCAAGAACTTTTTGAATGTCTAAAAAATTTATTACCTAAGGATAATGTTGAGATTCCAGTAAGTTTAACAATTTTCTATCTATTAAGCTATTATTTAACATTTTGTAGATTTTCAAATATTTTACATCACACAAACATTACAGTGTTCAATTGAGTTGTCATCATCTTATGCATCAACAACTACCAGCGGCACTGCTCATTACATACAATCTTCACAATACCATCCTAACACACTGCCTTCTCCTTCTACCATGGTTTCTACCACAAACAATACCACATTAGAACAACAAAAACAATTACTATCTTCTTCTCCAAACTCTGGATCTTGCTCTACATCAGCTATTATTACTTCGCAATCTGCTTTTACTCCTTATAATAATCATTCTTCTCATACAATAAATCCTACTCCAGTAACTACTTCTCCAAATAAAGTAAATTTCAATATTTTTGAATCAGAAAAAAAGAGAGGAAAAAGAAATTAAATGTGTCATCAACAGAATTATCAACTTCAACAGCCACTGCCTCATCATCATCAACCACCACCGCTACATCCACCACTGCATCTGGAGAGCAACCTCTTGACAATCAAGATGAATCAACAGCTACAACAACATCCACTATTGTCGAAACTGAATCAGTAATAATCAA